ACATAGAAATATACACAGTCACTTGTAATTTTATTTGTCCAGTTTTTCAATGGGATATTAAGTCTCTTAAAAATGATTCAAATGAATCTATTAAATCATTGTCTAAGAATTCTGTTATCTCTTGTTCCCTCTTCTTATGCAAAAAGTTTCTTCTGTCTTTGGGATTCCTTCTTTCTTTAGTATGATGAACAGTTACATATGATGGTACTTCAGAAATAATTCATATATATTTCATATAGTAATAGTAATTCATATATATTAGGAACTGTATTGTCTTTTAATTTGGGAAATATTAACTTTTCAATGTGTACATTTCCAACTTTATCTTCTCATTGTTCAGTCCGCTGAATATCATCTTCATGAAAATGTTTGGCACATACTACGGAAGATTTGGTAATTGTATAGCTTTTTCTATGAATAGAGCATAACCCAGTATACCTTCTTTGGGGATCTTTGTGAAAGGAAAACGTACTTTCTGCCTGTTTCGTTTTTAAAGTACTGGCATAATTGGTTTTGCTACTAGGTACACAACAATGCCAGGGCATCTGTAACAAAAAAACAAAAGTATTATTATTGTTGTTTTTAGTTTACATATTTTGTAACAAGAAGCAAAAGTATTATTATTTTCAATTTGTTTTGTAGGTTATATTTATACTTGCCTTTTAAATTGTCATTAAGAATCTCCTAAAAGTTCTAAAGTTAATGAAATTTCACTTATATTAGGTAATATTTTCTAATTGATTTAAACACAATTTACAAATAAAACATTCGAATAAAGTTAAAAAACACTAAATTCAACAAACTTTACAAGCCTTCCTATATGAAATGTTAAAAACAAAACAAACCACGGTCGGACTACCACGTGACCACGCGTTGTTGCCAAATTTCTACTTCATGGCTTGGAAGTAAAGGTGGCTGTGGCCAATACCCTTTATTATTATCACCCTTAATACCCTTAATTCTGGCCAAATCCGACACCCAGAGGAAACATAAAAGAAAAAGTAATAAGAAAATACCATTAGTTGTTACTTCAGAAGCGTGGCAAAACTATCATAAAAGGCAAAACTATCATAGAAAACCGGAAAACTTGAAGAACAAGAAGGGACTATTTTTTTTTATTTAATTAATGGCTTTGGATAACTTGATCCATTCAGCCACGTTAATGTATTTGACTAGTTGAATTTGTTAATGATGTATTGATCTATTGCATTTGTTAACAAAATAGTACTTCGCTCTTTACTTGGTCATTTACTGTAGTAAGTAATTCGCCTGTCTTGGATCTTACAATGTTTGAACAGTTGGGCCCATTTTTTGTTAGTCGTCTAGTAATTTGGTATAGCTCTCTAGTTCTATTGTGTTGTGCAGCTGTTTCAGCTTGTCTTGCCAGTTCTTCAGCCCACCTTTTTTTGTCTCTTCTTGCATTTCTTTTAACTGTTTTATTTATTGTTTTAAATTCTTGTTGTCAGTTCGCTCTTTCTTATTCAATTCTTACTTGCAAAATCTCTTTCTCTTGCTGTTTTCTTTCCTCGATAAAATTCCAAGTTTCATCTGACATCCATTCTTTTCTATGTTTCTCTTTTTTATCTTTTTTATCTACCCAGTTTATCTTGAGCTATTTCTTTTAAAACATCTGCCAATTCTTCCCAGCTGTTTACATCACGTTTTCTTGTTTTGAGTTGGAGTTCCTTCCTAAACATGTGTCTCCTGGAGCCGTTTTTAATTTGTCTAGATTGTATGTTGGTCTGTTGGTGTTTCGCGTGATTTTGTTTTTTGCCATCTTGATTTTAATGGTACCGATTATGAGATGATGGTCACTTGCGATGTCTGCTTCTCTTTTGTTACGTACATCAAGAAGAGATGATCTTCTTGATGTACCGGGTGGTCCAATAAGCCAATCTCTCGGCTATATATCAGAAACTATTCATGTTATAACTTTAGGAGAAAAAATTCCTTAGTAAAAGTGGCCAAGAGAAATCGCTGGAAATAACTTTCAAGATTCTGGATTAACCGCTAGGGGGCGTAACCTGCAAAGAAAATTTTGAAAACCAGTTTTTTGGGAAATATGACCAATTATACCAAGTGTTAAATAAGTAAACTAGAAAGAGGCATAAATTCTACACAAAGTTGTTCAAGTACTTTTTTTTATTTTGTTTAAATAAAGGGTGGGGGAGAGTGGGAAAGTATTTGTGGATAAATACCTATAACATTGGTTTGGATCAACCGATTTTAACAAAATTAGTATCATTAGAAAGAGTGTGGATGAATCAATTTACATCTACTATAAAATAATTGCATTTAGTTTTAATTGTCGTAGGTAGAGGGTACTTTCTAATAGAAAAAATTAAAATTTGTTTTTCTTCAAAATTTTTAATGGAAATACCTATTTATTGTAAATTATAATGGAACTGGATTAAATTCGTAACAAAATGGCGTAAACCGTATGTTAATAGCTTTTATCGAACTCGAGATATGAATAAAAACGCATAAACATAAGTAAGTATAGTATTGACACACCCTGTATTATAAATTACATTAAAAAATAAGTCAGTAGGTATTTTCAAATTTTTTTATACCAGAAGAATCTTTTAATTTTTATTTTTTCTATTTGAAAGTTCCCTCCACCTACGACTACTTAAACTAAATGCAAGTATTTTATAGTAGATGTGAATTAATTCACCCACACTCTTTCTAATGACACTAATTTCATTAAAATCGGTTGATCCAAACCAAAGTTATAGGTATTTATCCACAAATACTTTCCCACTCTCCCCCACCCTTTATTTGAAAAAATAAAAAAAAGTACTTAAACAACTTTGTGCAGAATTTATGCCTCTTTCTAGTTTACTTATTTAACACTTGGTATAATTGGTCATATTTCCCAAAAAACTGGTTTTCAAAATTTTCTTTGCAGGTTACGCCCCCTAGCGGTTAATCCAGAATCTTGAAAGTTATTTTCAGCGATTTCTCTTGGCCACTTTTACTAAGGAATTTTTTCTCCTAAAGTTATAACATGAATAGTTTCTGATATATAGCCGAGAGATCGGCTTATTGGACCACCCGGTACATATGACCTGGTGCAGTCAATGTAATCTTGTGGATATTTTTATGTGGGAAGATGGTTCCACCAATAACTAAGCTATGATTGGAACAAAAATTTGTAAAACGCTCTCCGTTTTCATTCATCACTTCCAGACCATGTTCTGGTATCTGGTATAAAATCGCTCAGTCATAATTCTATCATTAATGGGTTTCCATGAAATGAGGCTTTTTGGCTTGTTTGCTGATTAGAAGACCCACTCCGCTCTCGCGACTTACATTTTCTTTACCACTGTATAATAGGAGTTCTCCTATTTGGGTATGATGTTCACCATTGTCCAACCATCTTACTTCCGATAGACCAACAAAGCTTAATTTAAACTTATTTAATTCTTTTACTGCTTTCGCTAGTTTAGAAATTTCATATAGAGTTTTAACATTCCATCAACCAAATCGTGTCCGTGTTTTCGGTGATACCAGGGTCGTTAACAATTGATCCGTCCGGTTTGTTTTTACCAAAGTTTCAGTAATAAAATGAAATTTAAGATGGGTAGATTATTGGCCTTCCGCACCCGAGTCTAGTGCCGGGACTGCTGACTGTAGCTTCCAGACAAGCCTTAGGTGGTAGTAGTCCTGGAGGTGGCAACGACTTTTTCTTCGTGCGAGATGTTAAGGTTATACCGCCTATACTCGGTCGGGGAAGAGTATGCAGTAGAAAGAAATATAGTGATCCGTCTGCTTTCGGAAACCTAATCGCCATTCGGGGTCGGCAGAAACAAAAGTTAGTCAAGAGAGGCTGATAAAAAAGATCGACATTTCACTCAAGACAAGTTAAAGAAGAGTATGTGAAGGCCCTTATGATTCGCCAGGTGCGTTTCATAAGAGTGTGAGTATTGATACACTTTGTGTTTCCGCTCATACTTCGGGATATTGACTACAGACTGTATGGCTCGTCCAGCATGCCATCGCATGGAGGATAGGATACAAGGCATTTTACAATGTAGGCGCACTAAACTTTACGGCCTGACGCCCCACCTGAGAATAGTATGTTCTTCCATTTCGTCACAGTCTAGTCACCGTATTCTCGCTCAAAACCAAGTCTAGCTCTACGGTGTTGTGAAAGCAGTTGTGGGGCGCAAGCTGAACGGAAAGCCTTCAAATTTCTTTCTGGCATTCTTCTTATAATGATACGTTCACTCACACTAACAAAAATACGCGTATAAGCTTCATGAGCGGTGCAAAAAAAATTTCTTAATACGTTGCTCACAATGAAGCGGTCATCTAGAATTGCAGTGCATCGATGTCGGCCTTGACGTGGTTTGGGGGTGTATGAACCTGTCTTGTGAAATCGCCTGATAGCATCCCGTACCGTAGTTCGGGGTACATCGACTGTACGTGCGATAAGACGTTGGCTGTACCCAGCATCAGTCTAAGCAACTGCCCTAGCTGCATTAGTTGAAACGAGTGGCATTTTTTATAGCCACAAACATTAATAAACACTAAAATACCAAATTAAACAATATTCGCACACTATGACACGCCGTACAACAAAACCCTTCGGTGACACAAATTTAGGACACAAACTGAGGGCATTAGTGTTTAATTTATTGCCAGCGTACCTACTTCACAGATCAAGAAACAGTTGATAAGCTATAGTTAATGTAAACAAACGGTGACGCATAATAGAGGTGAACGGTTAATTGTGCCGTTGAGGAAACAGACATTTGAATGGCGCGCGGTCGCATTGCCTCAGAGGTACGAAATATTTCGACCAGGGCCTGATTAATATTGAATTATTTTGTAATCGACTTCAAAATCTGAGCGACCATGCGACGTTTTGACACAACTGTTCTAGACCTTTACATTTTATTCTGGTAATACAAAAATATACATTATCATCTATATTTTTTTCTATGTACAAAATCTCTAATTTAGCAACTAATTTATGGTTATTTATATTTTAGATTACAAAAAGAGGAAGCAACCATCACAGAAGAAAACAAAAAGACGAAAAAGAAGCATAAACCCCATAAGGTAAAGCCAAGCTCTTCTAAAAAAGCTCAAAATGGTGAATTCCAACAAGAAAGTGATACTGTTGTTAATAACAGTAATGTTAATCTTAATTTTAATGTTGCCAACATTATAAATGATATAGTTCCAGAAAAAACAGCAGATAATATATCAAAAGTAAAGACTGACAGTGTAAAACAACCAAAAAAGGTAACAAAAATTAATGAAATAGATGTTAACAAAAAGCCGACTGAAAAGTTGCAATTGCCACTGAAAGATTTAAAAATATGCGAGAACAAATCCCCAGAAGAACAACCACAAGTACTGCCTGAAAAGGAAGCCAAGCCTAACAATTTAGATAAGATTAAAATCAAGTTGTGCCACATCTGTAATACTCATCATGTCCAAGAACATTGCCCTATAAGCTTTCCTCATTACATCATAAATGATTCCTTAGAACATAGCGAATGGGAAGAAAAGTTTAGGGTACTACACGATATTCAGTATAATAAGGAAAAGACTGAACTCAATGAAGATGATTTAATAAAATATAGTTATTCGATGCTATCGTTGCCAAGTTGCTTAAATATCAATGATACTGGTACTGACCATGGCTTGGGAGTCTTTGCCAAAAGTGATTTGGAGCCTTTTGCCCAGTTTGGGCCCCTTGTTGGTATGTACCTATGTCTTGCTTACATAAAACACCAATTATTTGTAAACGGGTTTTGATTGTGTTAACGTGAATTGTTAAAGATATCAAATTGTTAACATATTTAAAAAAACCCTGTTATCAAGGATTGTAAGTTTTGCGACCGATGTAATGTTATATTGTTTTAAGTTTTATGTGACTTGGGAAAGGTTTTGTGTTTCGTAGCGCTCAGTACACATCCTGCTTAGATGTAGATCTTATTTACGATTAAAGTTAATCGGCTGTTTTTAGATTTTAATACTATATCATTAGAGGGAGAAGATTTCAAGACAGGTTCTTCACCAAGTGTTACTTTGCACTAATGCTTTTAATTCAGTTCAAGCTAGACAAGAATTTGGCTAACAGAAAAAAATATTTTGCCATTTATTTATGAATGAATCTTGAGACTACATAAGACGATGCATTCGCTGTGATCATATGCAGTCTTTACGTAAAGGAAATACATTAAAAAAAATTCAATCGTCTAATTCCATATATATATATATATATATATATATATATATTATATTATATATATTATATATATATATATATATATATATATATATATATAAACAACACAGTTTATTAGGGTTGCAGTCAGAATATTGGCCGGGATGTTAAAAAAACACTCTTTTGACTTTTTGTCTAGCTTTCGGAATGGTTTTATTCCTTTTTCAAGAGTATATTAGTCCATAGTCGTTGAGATTATTTATAAAAGCATTGACACTCAACATTGATAGCACACATTAAAATATAAAATCATGGACAAAATACATTCTAAAATTTTTAAAATTTAGGGTAAAGATAGTAAAACTTAGTTTATGGCATGTTTTACTGGTGTGAGTGTGTGTTACAACACTCACACATAAAAAAATATTATATAGACTTGTATGTCCCCAAGAAAATAAGATATAACCACATGTCTGTGATAGGCCCGTAAGTACTATGGGCACTCTTCTCTGATGTTTACACGATTAAAAGAAGGTTCATATCTTATATTAAGTCAACAGTTGCTTTAATTTCAATTCATAAAAAATAACAGAATAAATTAAAACAAAACAAAAGCAAAAGAAAATATGGGGCTTCATAAGAGGTCAAAGAACGGAGGTAAAGGAACTAATATAACCAAAACACATAGGAAAGCATACGTGTAATAACTACCTAAAAGAGTTCAACCACAAATTACCACAAACGAAGAACTTAATATAAATGTACAGGAAGTTCGTAAAATATTGAAAAGCTAAAGACCAGGAAAGCAGTAGGTAAAGACGGGATACCAAATGAACTACTGAAATATTGTGCCAGCCAGAAAACTACAAAGTTAAAACAATTTATTCTAAAAAATATCAATTTTATAATTTTAATTAAAACATTTTGAGTGTATGACTTTAAAAGGTGTGATTTTTTACGTAATTCGTCTAAATTTTGGGCACGTTCATGGTCTTCTTCTTCGTGCGACTAGGATTACTCCTGTTTGTCTGCCTCTTATTCTGTTTCAGTGGTTGTTCACTGTACATTATCTTTTCACATTTTTGGCGGTCTTCCAACGGGTCTTCTGTTATACGGTTGGTTGTTTTTACAGATGTTCGCTAATCTATCTGGTCCCATTCGGTTTACATCTTCTTTCCAGTTTTTTTCTTGATTTTATCCACCTGTTAATATTTTGAATTTTGCATTGTTCGCGTATACTTCTATTGGTTTTTCTGTCTCTTAATGATTGCCTGCTATTGATCTTAATACTTTCATTTCGATATTGTTGATTTGTTGTTTCGTCTTTCTTGTATCGGCCCTTGTCTCCGCTGCATATGTTAGGATTGGTCTTACTGTTGTCTTGTATGCTTTCATTTTCCTTTCCGTGGTCAGATATTTGTTTCTCCATATGGTTTCTCGGAGGCAACCACTTACTCTTGCCGCTTTTTATGCTTGCCTTACGTTCATGGTCATATCGGTAAATTTGTTGCTTCATATAACCCCATACAAAAAAGTCCAAAGGTGCAAGATCAAGAGAGCGAGGTGGCATTTTTATGGTACTTTTGTACTAATAACTCTATCTAATGTTTAAAAAAATCTAACACATATTAATAGGTAATACTCGAACTGCTGCAATTACGTGATTTTTCAGGAGACCTAGTTATTTAGGACGACACAAAGTACCCACGATGAAAAAAGGACCAATTACGTTGTCACCTAAAATATCAGCCCAGACGTTGACCTTTTTGACAGTATTGTGTTTTGTAAGGAACACTTATGTGCCTATTTTCTGTAAAGTACCCGACGGTAACAGATGGATTGTGATGACCAATTAAAGAACACTAATCTGTAAACAAGACTTTTTTCATAAAATTTTCGTCACGATTAGTGACACCATCCGTCGTTCATAATCAGCAGAGAAAATTTCCCGTTTTTTGCAATTCGTAGCAATGGTGCTTGTTTCTTTTAATAATATTTCGTAAACTCATTTTACCCTATGAAGGCCGATATGTAATTAAGATATGATCAGTGGGCCTCAAACAGTCTTCCGATCGCTTGAAAAGCGATTCCTTGACCACTTGAGGACTATTTCGAGCTGCGGTCCATAAAGTTAGAATTGCCATGCTAATAGCCAACATCCGCAACGGATAGGCACCATAAGAAGAAGAGCTTGAAAAGTAAAAATATTTATTTTTCTGTATTTTATGTTCAGTAATAATATTGGATTTTACTGTGTATCAAAGGCAAATAAAATGGAAATAATATATATATATATATATATATATAATATTAATATATATATATATATATATATATATATATATATATATATATATATATATATATATATATATATATATATATTTACGGCATAAAGTGAACTCCGCCCATGTTAAAATTCAGGTTCAAGTGAGCTCCGTGGTCAAGTGGACACCGATATACGGAGCTCACATGACCATTCCATAATATTGGCTCTGTCGATTCGTTAAGATGTATAGTTTCATAATTCTTAATAAAATTTTGGAGCTCATAAGTACCCCTGTATCGTAAATGTATTTGGCTTAGTTCACGTGTATATATTATAGGGGTCGTTCAGATCTTTTTCACTGTATATTGGAACCATAGGAATATCGGTTTAAGTAAGCTCTGATAGTTTGGCAACTATGCACTTAGGCCAGCGTTCTTGATATATATATTTTATATATTTTAAACGGTTCATACGGACTCCTTTTCATTCGCATTACAATATGTAATCTTCTTCTTCTTCTTGATGTGCCTATCCGTTATGAATGTTGGCGATCATATTGACAATATGTAATAGATATGTATAATACCAAATACCTGTTTTTGGTAGGTACCTGCTATTCTAAAAATAGCTTTATAAATACAAAAGGATTTCATTACCAAGTTGGACGTGTTTTTTCATATGCGAATATTTCCTAATGTATTTTGTTAACATGAATATGTCTTTATACGTTTTATTTAAGAATACGATTAATAAGAACTTTTAGTTAATCCATTTTTATAGTTTTACGATATCTTGTATACAGCTTCTTTATTATTTTATTTCTGGTTTTATCTGTGTACTACATATAATTCTGGATAGGTTATCTTAAAATAAATATTTAAGTGCAAAAATAGATATTTTTATGTAAAAATTGGTAGTAGTGCACAAAAGAGGGAAGAATGCTTAATTTATATAAGAAGAATGTACCAGTTCACCAATATTACATACTTCTAAATGTTTTATCTGCTATTTAGGGGTAATATGTAATCAATAAACGTGGAGTTAGTGTCAAATTTACAATAATCTTTGGTCAGTTTTTTCTCGATTTTAGTCATAAATTGAGCTGGTATTCGTTGAGTGGATGTTGCGATTCTAGACTTTGTATCTTTTAGTCTCTAGCAGTCTAGCTACTTATCTTCGGATATTAGGTGAATTGATAGCTACGATATTGTAGAGCTTATGTATGGATGTGTGTGTGTGTGTGTGTGTCTTAATAATCGCTGAATTTGGCTGTCTAATTTATAGCTAAATCTACGTGTTAAATATGTGTTGGTGTCATCCATACTTGCAAGGTATATTCGGTAGCAGAAGCATAGAGTGCAAGCGTCTACGTTTTAAGGATGAAAGGATGCTTCTCATTTTTAGCTGACAAGTTTGCAGAGATTATTTTTCTGGTCCTCAGTTTGCCTTTTAGTTTTAAACAATGTTCTATGAATGACAAAGTGTGATACAAACTATCTTCAAGGTATTTATAGCAAGTCCAGAGTTTAAAAATTTCATGACACTATTGGATGTTTAGATTTTTAAAAGCAATTCTGTTAGGGACATTAAAGCAGGACCTCTGACTTTTTCTGAGGTTTGGCTTAAAATTGATTCATAGTCTACTTTTATTGTGTTTAAAGTATGATTTAGATTTTTCTATACTTCAGCAACAAAAGTTTTTGGTTGTGCAACAATATCGATGTATCGTCTACATAATAAAAGTCCTAGTATTTACTGGTATGGGTTGTGTAAATATTATACAGTGTAGGTACCATTACGCTACCCCAAAGGAGACCGTTCTTCTGCGTTTTCCATCTGTTATTTTTACCATTGAATGATAGGAAAAATCTTCTGTTGTGTAGGCATACCCGGACAATACAAGCCATTGTTGTATTTTTGATCCAAATTTTAGAATTAGTTTTGTGCTCAGATCTTTAGTCAGGAGCCGTAATATTGTTCATTAGGTATATACGTAGATAGCATATCCAAGCTCAACACCGTTGAAAGATTCCCTTAGCTGACTGGTTTTGTCCCCTTTCATTTTAAGTTTTTCTTTTCTTGTTTGCCTATGTTTGGCCCTCAATGTGTTTTCTGCACTAGAAATACGTCACATTTGTGTTAACCGCATATGTCTGATAAAGTTAAGTAAAGGAAAGTACCTATCTTTATCTCTGGATATTCCCTTCTCTAATGTTTATAGACATAATTAGGATAGTTGGCATTAAAAAGGCCGATTTGGCCG